TCCCTCTTTTCTTCAACTCTAAACCATCCTTACTTCAATGGACCTAACCCCAAACACTAAGGATCCTCAATCTCTCAACATACAATAGATTACAACTCAAATACACAACCCAATCACGTCCCACAACCAACAATAATTTCAACAACAACAACTAACAACTTCAACAACTTCCACAACTTCAACAACAAATCCAATCTTTTCTCAAATCATAAAAATGAGCTTGGTGTGTGGGGGAAAGGATCAACCCACACAAAGAACTCACATACCTAGTAGGGATCACCCCCGACGATTTCCACGACGATCTTTGCTTGATCTCCTTGCTTGCTCTTCTATTTCTCTTCTTCTTCTCTCAAGCCCTAGCTTTCACTCTTTAAAATGGAACCAAAATGATCCAAATATCAGCCTAACACAACAATATAATCCCAAAAGAAATGGCTAGGGAAAAGACCAAAATGCCCTTAAATTTCCGGACGGATTCCCTGCCCACTGCCCAACTTTCAAAGGGCATAACTCGCTCATACGAACTCGGAATTGAGCAAACTCGGTGGCGTTGGAAAGATCATTCCAAGGGCTTTCCAAACATAACTGTAACTACTCCTAACTCATTCTGAGCTAGGAGTTATGACCGCTCAAAGTTGGCCAAAAACTCACTGATTTCCACACTTGGCCAAATTTCCAGATTTTCAATTTTATTCCAAAAGTGACTATTTTCGATTTTTAAGCCTCTTCATAGATATTTCAAATTACCGGATGTTACAATATGGTTTTGTTTACTGTGGAGATTGCGGTTTGTATATTTAGCTTGTCCGTTTGTATATTTCACTTGGAAATATACAAACAGGATAAGTATATACAAACGGGGATTGCATTTTGTATACTTCGCTTGCCCGTGTGTATGTTTTGCTTTCGAATATACAAACATGGTAAATATATACAAATTTTGTATTTATACATTTAGAAAATTTTCAGAATTTCGTATGTATATTTCGCTTGCCAATATACAAACATGGTAATTTATAATGATTTTTCTTAAATCGTATACAAATAGCTAGTGTAAGCATATACAAATTCTGAATTTATACCATTAGAAACTGAATTATATAAATTCTGGATTTATACAATCAGGGATCGAATTAGAAAAATTCTGGATTTATACAATAAGAAAACCGAATAGCAAAATTTCGCGAAAGTGTGGCCACGGATTAAAAGTAATCGAAACTATAGATATATTACATAATAATCTAAATGTTTGTCATTTCACATAATTTTCCCTTAAAAGAATTTAATATATTGGCAGAATTTTAAGGTTAAATTTTGATTGGAAAAAAAATCGTAAAAAAATGAAGAGGGCTAACCCGCTCCAACCCATGGCCTTTTTTAGGATTGGCTGGGGTTCGCCACTTCAAGGCCCGTCAGCCTGTCTTAACCCATCAATTTTTTTGGCCCGTGAAACTTAGACGGGATGGGGCTAGGCTGACCTGTTTTGACAAATCTATTCTTTATTAGGAAAAAAATATAAATAAATGACATATTTATATTTGGAAGACCAAAATAGATTACATTAATCTTGGTCAAAAGCAAAAATTGATGGAAAAGTTATTATAATGATATCACATTTCATTTTCTCAAACTATAAAACCCCATCATTTGTGTTGTTTTAGGGAAAATATTAAAGAATTCTGAATTTTGATACACCAAAAATGGCAAGAATAAACATTTTTTTACAGTATAATATAGTCTTAACATTCTTGGCATTTTTGTTTTTGGTAACAGAAGGGGTACCTCAGAGTGCACTGGTCACTCAACTCCCTGGATTCAATGGCACTTTTAACTCAAAACACTATGCTGGGTATGTATTCTTTTTGTGTTTTTTTTTAATAAAAAGATGTAAACTTTATCTTGATTTTTCTTCCTTTTTTTTTGAATGTTTCTTGAAATGGGATTTTCAGGTATGTTAATATAGATGAGAGTCATGGCAAGAATTTGTATTACTACTTTGTTGAATCTGAAAGAAATCCATCAAAGGATCCAGTTGTTCTTTGGCTTAATGGTGGACCTGGCTGTTCAAGCTTTGATGGCTTTGTCTATGAGCATGGTAACAACTCTACTTCTACTTATGCGTTGGGCTGAATTTGGGCGGATTAAAATATTTTGACTAGATTTTTTATAGATTATCAGGGATAGATATCAGTCTAAATTTTGATGGATTGAAACGGATTGAACTAATAAATGAACGAGTTTTAATCAGCCCTCTCTAGATTTGACTTGTGAAATTTATGTTGTTGTTGTTGTTGTTGTTCTTGTTGTATATACAAGGAGCCGGCTTTTGGGTAAAGCCTAGCTTTTGGCTCCCACTTTTTATCAATAAATTTGTATATTTTTCTTATATTTAAATATATTTTTAAAAGAAATTATTTTTTTACAATAAAAGGAAAGAAATTTTGTTAGATAACGATTTGATCTAGAAAAAGGGCCCCAAAATTTGTTAACGTGTGTGTACAACTTATGGAATGAATCTCACAAGTAGTATCACTATTGTTCTCTCATCAAAATTAGTATGATGTATTATTTGTAGATAATTTCTATTAATAAGAATTTACTTATAAAAAGATATGCATATTGATGTTGTCGTAGATCAATTAAGGTCTAATTTATATATTTTTTAAAATAAAGAATTGAACCAACATAATAGTCTTAAACTTGAATAGTCATTCTGATGGTTAAGACTCATGATAATATTCTAATCGAAATATTCAATCAGATAAAGGACTTGATTCTTTTACAAATGTCTATATTTTATAAAGAATAATGTTAACAATTCAAGTAACAGTTGATTCTTGTGTTGTATACATTGCAGGACCTTTTAATTTTGAGGCGGGAAAGACAAATGATAGCCTGCCCATTCTGCATAACAATCCATACAGTTGGTCTAAGGTTATTATTTGTGTTAATTCTACTTTTATCATATGCTTACATTTTATTAGTACTCACTCATTATGATTTGATTCTTCTAGGTTTCCAATATAATATATCTGGATGCTCCTGTTGGTGTTGGATTATCTTACTCGAACGATAAAGCTGACTATAACACAGGGGACTTAAAGACTGCATCCGATACCCATTCGTTTCTCCTCAAGGTAACATTACATAAATTTAATTACTAGCTATCACTACAAGAAAAGTGCGAATTACATGGGGATTTTCTTGGGGATTAGTATTAAAATTTGTAGGAAAATAAGTTTCCTGCGGATTTTCATACTAATCCCTAGGAAAATCCTCATGTAATTCACACTTTCTTTTGTAATGTAGTTTTATACTAGCTATGTCCTAGCTCGTTTATGGTTTCTACTAACTGATGCTCTTGCTAGTGGTTTGAGATTTACCCGGAGTTCCTCACGAACCAATTTTACATATCTGGAGAGTCTTATGCTGGAATATACGTACCAACTCTGGCTTCTGATATAGCAAAAGGTAATCTGGATCTTAAATGAACATGTATTGATTGGTGGTGTTCAGGGGATTAAGAAACTAACCTTCTTCTGCTTATGTTTTTTAGGTATTGATGCTGGAGTAAAGCCCGCCATCAACTTTAAGGTCAGGGCTAATTTTATTCAATATACTTCAGACATTTACTTAATGGCTGACTTTAGGTCACTGATTACATTGAACCGTTCATGTTTAAGGTATATACACTTCAAGATTTTAACTAGTTGTCTGGGCTGTAAACTCTTTATGTTCTATTGCACAGGGTTACATGGTGGGAAATGGCGTGACAGATGATATAATAGACGCTAATGCTCTTGTTCCATTTCAACATGGTATGGGCCTTATTTCAGATAAAATATTCGAGGTATTTGCTTCTTCTTGTTTAATTTTCTAGTGCTTGAATCATTCGACTTCTGAACTAATTTTAGAATTCTAGTCTGTCAAAAAATATGTTACAAAGCAAATGTTAATGTATGTTTATACATTTACTACTTCAATATATTAGGAACTGGTCTCTGATTATTCTTTTTCATGCTCAGGAAGCAAATGCTGCATGCCAAGGAAACTTCTACAATGAAACGAGTCAGCATTGTAAAGACATGCAAGGTAAAATTAATCGGGTAAGGTGTTATTTTGTCATGTTTGATTCAAACAATCCATTGTTCTGGTTTATCGATCCACATTCACCTTTTCTGCCTATTGCAGAATGTTGACGATCTAAACACGTATGACATTCTAGAACCGTGTTACCACAACACTGTACCTGATGTAACCACTGATAACTCAAGATTACCAATGAGTTTTCGAAAACTAGGTGAGACAAAAAGGCCTTTTCCTGTCAGAAAAAGAATGTTTGGCCGTGCTTGGCCTTATAATGCTCCAGTAAGAGAGGGACTTGTCCCATCTTGGCCGGAGATTCTCAAACATACAAACTACGTCCCTTGCATTGTAAGTCGCTCTTGATTTATTCTTTCCTTTTGTTTATTCTCTTTAAGAGACATCTAATCTGAAATGAAATATGCAGAGTGATCGTATTGCTACAGTGTGGCTAAATAATGAAGATGTTCGTAAAGCAATTCATGCTGAACCAGTAAGATACAATTTACTCATGTTGTACTAACTTTAAACATGATGATTTACCTTCACTCAAAAAAGACAATATAATTGGTGATCGATTTATGGTTATACAACAGATAACTGTGATAGGTCGCTGGCGGCTTTGCTCAAACAAACTAATCTTCACTCATGATACTGGAAGCATGATTCCATATCACAAAAACCTCACAGCTTGGGGATATAGGGCACTCATATACAGGTCCAATAGATTACTGAGTCTCTTAACATGCATTCTTCTGTATTACTCGTGGTATTATTATGTAAAACACGGATAGACATTGACTAAGACACATATTTGTGTGTTGCAGTGGGGATCACGATATGTGTGTACCATACACTGGTTCAGAAAAATGGACAAGTTCACTTGGATATGCAATCGTGGATGAATGGAGGCCTTGGTATACAAAAGAAGAAATTCAAGGGTATGTTCGTGTTTTTCACTTACTAAATCATGTTCATGTTTAACTTCTCTAATGTGATTCAATTCTGTAAAATTCATTCTAAATGCTTAAATCTTTTTTGCAGATACGTACAAGTTGCAGGGTATGTTCGCGTTTTCACCTTCTAAATCTTGTTCATCTCTAATGTGTTGCAATTCTGTAAAATTCATCTTAAATCTTTTCTGCAGTTACACACAAGGTTATGCCAACAACCTCACTTTTCTGACTATTAAGGTATGTGTATATCAAGAAATATTTTTTCGTTTTCTATTTTTTTTTTCCCTTTTGTTTAATTGATTGATTTCGGATATCTTCAGGGAGCTGGACACACCGTGCCTGAGTACAAACCACTAGAGGCGTTGGAGTTCTATGAACGTTGGCTAGAGGGCAAGAAGATATGATAATATGAAGAATGAAGACTTAATTAGTAGACATTAACTTCAATTATTTATAAAAGATAGATTTTTCTTATTTTCTACAGGAAAATTTTATAAAAGAGAGGGGATATTGGAATTTTACAATGTATTTGAAGATATATATTCCTATCAGCAATAAAAATGATAATTTCTCTGTTAAAGCATGTTCATATCAATTTCTCTCCAATATTCATCTCCCACACTATATACATTGTAATTTTCGAGCCAGGGGTGCCAATTAACTTTTTTTTACCAAATTATTGGCGGTTGGGATGCATTTTTGTATGATTTTAGAAGTGTGATTCCGTATCACAAAAATCTCACAGCTCGGGATATCAAACAATCATATACAGGTTCATAATAGATTACTAAGTCTTTAAGGAATTACATTGGGTATGATATTATTGTTGTTGTGTTGATTAAGTAGGTGTAAACGAAAATCAAAAAGCTAAATGATTTCACAATTTTTACCAATAGCTGATTAAACATCATCAATAGTAAATATTTAATATACATTTATATTATTACATAATTATATAAAAAAAAACATTAGAAATTCATTGATGTACTTGTATGTAAGTCACCCCTTTATTAGACTTGGAATAAATTTATAATCTAAACAGCAAATAAGCTTTTTGCTTTTATACACCATATATTTGTATTTGAGTTCTAACAGATATGTGGTGTATCTTAATTAATTGGTATGTTATGTAATAAAAAGATTAATTTAACAAGAAAATAAAAGAAAGATCCTGCATAAAAATTTTAAGAAGAAAACTTGTTTTTCTATAATTATTAACAAGATAATAATTAATATATTGCAAAGATTTGGGATTATAATCATTTTTAAAACAAATTATACAATATATTTATTATTTAAATCATGGTTAGAAATTTATTTTGGGAAGTTAAATCTTAACCACTTAAATTAACTTATGTTATGCATCACTAATCCAAATAGAAACTTGAGGAAAATGGAGAGGAGTCGGATACAAAACTTATTCAGATATTCAATTATCCTAATTTGGGCTACTTTTCAGAGAATGTTGCATCTCAATGTATCCAACTTAAAATATGATACAAAATTCTTAATTAATGAAAATATCTGTAATAATTTGAAAATAAATATAGAATTAGTTAATATGATATAGATAGTATTATTGTATTTCATTCATAAATATAAGAGACTTCTACTTTGTCATTTTGTCCGTCCAACATCCCAAAAATCCAAATACATAAATAAATTGATGAATATTCCTTAAATGTATAAGACTTTATTTTTTTGTTATTTTCTCAGTCAAACTATTCAAAAATATAAATCATAAATTCATAATTAACTTTTTACTATATTAAGACTAAGTTAGATTGTATTAATCCAAATATTAATGGAATAGTTATTATAATGATGTCACACTTCATTTTCTCACACTATAAAAGCCCCATCATTTGTGTTCTTTTAGGGGAAACATCAAATAATTCTGAATTTTGATACACCAAACATGGCTAGAAAAAACATTATTTTAGAGTATACTATAGTGTTAACATTGTTGGCATTTTGTTTTTTGGTAACAGAAGGGGCACCTCAGGGTGCACTGGTAACTCAAATCCCTGGCTTCACTGGCAAATTGCTGTCAAAACATTATGCTGGGTATGGATTCTTTTTGTGTTTTTTGATAAAAAGATGTAATAAACTTTATTTTGATTTTTGTACCTTTTTTTTGAATATTATTTGAAATGGGTTTTCAGGTATGTTAATTTAGATGAAAGCCATGGCAAGAATATGTATTACTACTTTATTGAATCTGAAAGAAATCCATCAAAGGATCCAGTTGTTCTTTGGCTTAATGGTGGACCTGGCTGTTCAAGCTTTGATGGATTTGTCTATGAGCATGGTAACAACTTTAATTCTTAATTTTACTGGTTGAGTTGAATTTGAGCGGGTTAAAATATTTTGATCGTAGATGATAATACTCTAATCGATATACTCGATTAGACAAAAGACTTGATTTTTTAACAAATGCCTATATTTTGTAATGCATAGTGTAACAGTTGAGTCTTGTGTTCTATACATTGCAGGACCTTTTAATTTTGAGTTGGGGAAGGCAAATGGTAGCTTGCCTATTCTGCATAACAATCCATACAGTTGGTCAAAGGTTATTATTTGTGTTAATTCTACTTTTATCATATGCTTACATTTCATTAGCCACTCATTATTATTTGATTCTTCCAGGTTTCCAATATAATATATCTGGACTCTCCTGTTGGTGTTGGATTATCTTACTCGAAAAATAAAGCTGACTATAATACAGGAGACTTAAAAACTGCAACCGAAACCCATGCGTTTCTCCTCAAGGTAACATTACATAAATTTACTAGTTTTACGCTAGATCTGTCTAAGCTCGTTTATGGTTTCTACTAACTGATGCTCTTGCTAGTGGTTTGAGATCTACCCGGAGTTCCTCACGAACCCATTCTACATATCTGGAGAGTCTTATGCTGGAATATACGTGCCAACTCTGGCTTCTGAAGTAGTAAAAGGTAATCATGTATTGGTTGGTGCTACTGCTAGGCAGGGGATACACAAACTAACCTTCTGCTGCTTATGTTTTTTCAGGTATCGATGCTAAAGTAACGCCCGTCATCAACTTTAAGGTCAGGACTGACTCTGTCCATGTTTAAGGTATATACATTTCAAGATTTTAACTAGTTGTCTGGGTTGTAAACTCTTTATGTTCTATTGCACAGGGTTATATGGTGGGAAATGGCGTGACAGATGAGAAGATAGACGGTAATGCTATTGTTCCATTTCAACATGGTATGGGCCTCATTTCAGATAAATTATTCGAGGTATTTGCTTCTTCTTGTGCTTGAATCATTTGACTCTTGAACTTATTTAGAATTGTAGTCTGTCAAAAAATATGTTACAAAGCAAATGTTAATGTATGTTTATACATTTACCACTCCAATATATTAGCAACTGGTCTCTGATTATTCTTTTTCATGCTCAGGATGCAACTGCTGCATGCAAAGGAGACTTCTACATCTCAAGCAGTCAGAACTGTACATTATTACTATTAAAAATTAGTCAGGTAAGGTGTTACTCTGTGATGCTTGATTTATTTTGTCGTGACAACAATTCATTGTTCTGTATTGGTCCAAATTCATCTTTTCCGCCTATTGCAGAAAGTCATGGGACTAAACATTTATGACATACTAGAACCGTGTTACCACACCCCTTATAGCACCAAAAACTCAGAATTGCCAATGAGCTTTCGTAAACTAGGTGAGACAGAAAGGCCTCTTCCTGTTAGAACCAGAATGTTTGGCCGTGCTTGGCCTTTTAATGCTCCAGTAAGAGAGGGACTTGTCCCATCTTGGCCAGAGCTTCTCGATCATAATAATGTCTTTTGCACTGTAAGTCACTCTTGGTTTTTTCTTTCCTTTTGTTTATTCTCTTCAAGAGACACATAATCTGAAATGAAATATGCAGGATGATACTGTTGCTACTGCGTGGCTAAACAATGAAGATGTTCGTAAAGCAATTCATGCTGAACCAGTAAGATACAATTTACTCATCTTGTACTAACTTTAAACATGATGATTTACTTTTACCAATTGGTGATCGATTTATGGTTCAATCTTGTGGTACAACAGGCAACTGTGACAGGTCCTTGGGAGCTATGCAAACACTTAAACTTCACTCATGATGCTGGAAGCATGATTCCGTATCACAAAAACCTTACAACTCAGGGTTATCGGGCACTCATATACAGGTTCAATAGATTACCGAGTCTCTTAACATGCATTCTTCTGTATTACTCGTGGTATTATTATGTAAAACACATATAAAGAAGAAAACTGATCGTCTATATGTATTTCCTGTATATTCTATCGACTAAGACACATTTGTTTGTTGCAGTGGGGATCACGATATGTGTGTACCATACACTGGTTCAGAAAAATGGACAAGTTCACTTGGATATGCAATCGTGGATGAATGGAGGCCATGGTATACGAAAGAAAAAATTCAAGGGTATATTTGTGTTTTTCACCTACTAAATCATGTTCATGTTTAACTTCTCTAATGTGATCCAATTCTGTAAAATTCATACTAAATGCTTAAATCTTTTTTGCAGTTCCCAACAAGTTGCAGGGTATGTTCGCGTTTTCACCTAATTCTAAATCTTTTTCATGTCTAATGTGTTGCAATTCTGTAAAATTCATCTTAAATCTTTTCTGCAGTTACACACAAGGTTATGCCAACAACCTCACATTTCTGACTATTAAGGTATGTTTTTATCAAGAAATGTTTTTTTTTTGTTTTCTATTTTTTCTTTGATTTAATTGATTGATTTCCGAAATCCTCAGGGATCTGGACACACCGTGCCTGAGTACAAACCACAAGAGTCGTTGTATTTCTACGACAGTTGGCTACAGGGCAAGAAAATTTGATTATATGAAGAATGAAGAATGATTTTAGAGATAAAAGATAGATTTTGCTTGTTTCCTGCATGAAAATTTTATAAAAGAGAAAAGAAAGGAGTGGGATATTTCATGATATATATTCTTGTCAGCAATAGAAATGATAATTTCTCCTCACATCAATTTCTCTCCAGTATTCATCTTATATACTAGTACTAGTAATATATAAAAGTAATCTATCTACATTGTGATTTTCGAGTCGAGGGGTGGGGTGCCTACAAGCATTTTCTGAACCAAATTGTTGACGACGAAACTATTTTTAGATCAAACTTAGACATTTTTTTACCCTTTTTTTCATTTCTATAAAAGAGTTTGTTCCCTTGGTTTGATAAATAAACAATTTCAACTTTTTTTACTCCACGTTCATGATTGCTTAGAAAATACTCTTGATGAGTGAACTAGAGAAATTAAATTATTTACAAATTACAACTATATAAATAATTATAAATGATTTTTGAATCACAAACTTCAAACGTCTTCGATTCTTTGAATTCGTATCTAATCAAATTCTGCTATATGAATTAATCAAACTTGTCATATAAATTGAAATGGCTAGACAAAAAAATGATTTATTTCCATATGTTGTAGCCTAGATAGACAGTGAGTTATAATTATTTAGGATGATATTAGTCGAGGTGTACACAAACGAATCCAAACCGGACAATTATTTTTAAAAATATAGTTTTCTCCTTCCACACTAGTGGAGAGTTTAGGGCATTCATTTCCCCCAAAATTGGTTAACATTCGAAGATGGCCGTTGCTAATATGCAGAGATTCGCCTCACGAATCGCACGAAACCCTTCGATTTTTTCAATTACTCGATCCTCCGCATCCTCATGTTCATCCCGCACCGGCTCCGCCAAAGTCGCCGATCGGATCGTCAAGCTCTTCGCCGTTGACCCTGAGGGCTGTAAACGGGAGATTATTGGACTCTCGGGCCAAACTCTGCTCAAAGCTCTAACCAACCACGGGTTAATCGACCCGGATTCACATCGCCTTGAAGACATTGATGCGTGCTCCTCCGAGTGTGAGGTGCACATTGCTCAAGAATGGCTCGAGAAGCTTCCAAAAGCTTCTTACGATGAGCAGTATGTGCTGAAGAGGAACTCTAGGGCTAGGGTTTTGAACAAGCATTCTAGGTTGGGTTGTCAGGTGGTCCTCTCACCGGAGCTTCAAGGAATGGTTGTGGCAATTCCTGAGCCTAAGCCATGGGATATCCCATAAAAGGTGAAATGAATATTTTTCTATGTCTGTGAACTGGAATTTTAGTGCTTTGAGTTAATAAAATGTGGAACTTATGGTACTTGATAGGCAATTTCTGTCAAAATTGTCTGAAAGTTGACAACTTTGTTCGTTTTAAATGAATACTTTCCCAATTCCTGTATGAGTTATTTTAATATCAATCTGTCTTTGGTGGTATGACGACACTTTAATTTACCGGTACTAGAATGGAATTGGTTTGATAGAGTTGAGTAGATATAAAAGATTCATATTGCTGGTCCCAAGTCCCAACTAATTAGTGATTAAGGCATAATTGTTGTTGTGAGCTTGTAATTCCTCTGCAATCACATAGTCTGAAATTCATGTTTATGCCTTTGTAAAAATGTGTTACTGACTTGAGAAATAAGGCTACGACTAAATTTGGTGAGAGGTGGAAAACATCATAGCCTTTCTTGACCATTGGTCGCCAGACCACCTGCAACTAAAGATTGCATACCACTGGATGTGCCTATAAAGAAAACTAATTGTAATGTATTAGCTAGAGTGCTATTTACTGAGTATACTACGTCCCTGACCTTCTAAAGAAACAAGAATCTTGAGCATTGTCGCGGTTAGCTGCAACTAAACATCAGGTGCTACTGGATGTGCCTCTATTTAGTTGTAGTGTATAAGCTAGTATTTACTGAGTAGATTATGTACCTGACCCTCTAAAGCAACAAGAATTCATTACGTTTAGTTATAGGCACTTACAATCTACTATTGAGTAAATTATGTCCCTGACCTTCTAAAGCAACACAAATTCATTCTATTGTGAGGAAATTCTCCTGTTTCAGTTTGCAAGGATTCTTGTCACACCCCATAGCAGGAGAACATGTGGTGCTATGTCTGAGATCAATAAAAAACCCTTTCGTAATTGGGAGGGTTAGGATTCTAATCGGGACCTTAGGCACAAGGAACTATCCCAGCTAAAGAGATTTTATGCGACATGCTTAAGAAAAGTAACAGAGTATCACTGCTCATACTAAATTCATTCTGAGAACTGGATAGTAGGCAGCCAATCAGTTGTTAACCTTGCCTAACATTCTTCCAGCTTTCTGTTTGTTTGAGGTTATGAGCATTGTCATGTGTTAGCTCTAGATGTATGCTTTCTTCTATTATTCTCCAGTAGTCCCATCACTTCTGCAATAAGGCTTAGACCTGTATCTGTTTCTGCTGTTAGACATTCATCTATTGTCGTACTGTCACAAAAATGTCATGCATCAAATTTCCTTTCTGAACTTTCTTTTGTTTTTTGTTTTGGTAAACTAATAAATTTTATGAAGTGAAGGGCAAAAAATATAAACACCCTTTTTTCTGAACCTGAATCAGAGTACTAATATATTTTGGCCTGTCTGCCTACTTTCTTGAAATACTACTTGAGAGCAACAACACATACCCCGTGTAATCCCACAATTGGAGTCTGGTGTACGCAGACCTTACTACTTGAGCGCATCAACCTTAAAATATATTTATCATTGCGTTAAGCATATCTATCCTTGTACTCATTGTCTATTGCCATTGCATGTGTTCTTTTAGCCATATGTCACTACATAGTTCTCTCTGTAATGAATGTAGACATTTCTACCCATCCCCTTCTTTACTCGTACTTGTGTCTATCTACCTTCAAAATGTTACTTTATTACTTCTATCAGACCAGCCTCCTTTTCACTGAGCCATATTTTCATGGTACAACTTCGATTTTCATATCTTCAGATCACGAATATAAAGGCACTTAGATTTACTTGGAAGAATGTAAACTTTATAGTTCAGCGGGTAAAGTCAAGAAGCTTGAACTAGCTAATTTGATTTCAGTAGCCACAGTCTTCAGAGTTCCACGTTTTAGTGTTCTTTCACATAAAGCTCTTTAGTAGTAATTATAGTACATGCGTATAAAGGATTAGGTGATAAAAAAGGTGGAATTGGGAAATAAAAAGGTGAGCTTCTTGGCTGGAGTTTGTGAACTCAATGATCCTGGCACATCTCATGACCCATTTAAACATAACAACTTGCATTATGCTTGTATATTTTTCATTGAGTCACCCATTTTGTTGACATCTTGTTCTTGTGCTTATATATATCAGTACTGCTATATTCTTTTCCGTGTTTCTGAATACTTGGAGTAAGCAAGCACTATCCAAAACCAATCATATCTTTGTTTTCGCAAGCAATGGGATTTCAATTCCTATATACTTGACAATTAGATACTTCTGTTACGAGATCTTGGAGGACACACAGTTTGATCACATTCCTATCTCCGATAAGAATTACCTTGTGCAACAGACCAGTTGTCAATTCCAGTTGTTTATTGATGGTCAGTTGTGCACTCTCTCCTCTCCTCTCCCATTCAGTATGTAAAGACGATCTTAAAAGATAGAACTTGGGAAGCCAATATGATAAAGTTGGATAGATCTTTTAGTCGGTATGCATTGCAGACAAGTCAACAATGACCTAATTATTGGAACTAACCTATCTATCAGATTTATGGCTTCCACGCCAAGTGAAATGCAGTGGATGGTGAATGCAGAATGTAGTAGCTGTTAGTTAATGAAATTAGATTTCCAAAATTTCTGGATTAACAAGTTTGATGCTTCTGGTTTTTGTTCCTTTAACCCATGTTGAACAGGATAGACAATTGGTTTATGGCCTCTTGCTGTCTTTAGCAGTTAGGCATGAGCAACACACCCTCATACAAGCATGTACACATCTCGACTAATTCAATGGGAATTTGCTATATCTACCAACACAACTAACATTGTTTTTTGTTTGAGTTTGGCCGGTCATGTTTCATGGGCCAATTTTGCCACCTCGACAGCATTCTCTGGTCCCCTTAATCTTTGCAGCACATCCGCCATGAACCACGGAGTAACTCAAAATCAGATTTAAGAGTCCCTACAATGAATGAAAGGTCACTTATTACGACTTTATATTGTTGAATCTATCAATTTCTCCAACCTATATTTAGCTGGATGCATACTAGTACTTGTATAGTATACACACCACTATATTTTACGTGGTCCTAAACCTTTACCTCACGTCTACAGACATGAGTTCCACAATGACATATTTCAAGAGATGACGTCCAAACTCACCTACTCAAACGGAGTAACTACTTACTCATACCCGATATTTATATCAAACTAAGCAATTAAAAATTAAAACGAGAATAACATATCACTAAAAAAACAACATAAACACTAGTCTCACAGAGTGAGGTATAGTGATGGTAAAACGTACCCAAATCTTATTCCAATCTAAGAGATAGATAGGTTGTTTTGATAAACCTTCGGTTCAAGAAAAACAATTCAAAGTTATCTAAAAAAAGAAGAAGCAACTGAAGTAGAAGAAATAACAATCAAAACAAAAATAACAGATAAACGGCAACAAAACAACATCTATGTACAATAAATAATATAAGGTGCTATTATTATCTATTTCTCGATTGCTTAGACTATCATTTATCTATCTCCAAAAAATTCAATACACCACTAAATTGGAGCAATAAAGTTAGATTTGAACAAAATGTATCTTTTAAAACGTCAAATAGTTTCAATCAAATCTAATTTATGTTAACTAAAATATTTGATACGGAATAATTAATAAAGTCACCAAGAAATGTGGAATTAGATATTCTTGAATCTTGTGTCTATTTTTATATCTTAAAAAGAATATCATTGATTCCACGAAATTAGTGGGTGTCCTCAAACCACCCTCCTTAATTTTTCCTCCACCATTTAAACCCCTTAGCCATTTATTTCTATCTTCTCAGAAATATTATTTCCCTTGTTATTTTCTCTCACATGCATTTTCATGCTTCTTTTAACATCATCAATCCCAAACCCAAATCCTTTTATACTAAAACCTTCAAAGGGTTCATTCTCTTTGTAATTTCATCTAAGAAATGGACCCCGTAGAGCTAAATAGAATTTTCCAAATGTTTGATCGTAACGGAGATGGAACTATAACGAAAAAGGAGCTCAACGATTCGTTACAAAGCTTGGGAATACACATTGAGGAACAAGAACTTGTTCATATGATTGAAAAAATAGACGTAAACGGAGATGGATATATCGATATAGATGAATTCGGGACATTGTACAAGTCAATCATGGACGAGAAGGACGAAGAGGAGGATATGAGAGAAGCGTTCAACGTGTTTGATCAAAATGGTGATGGATATATAACGGTGGAAGAATTAAGGTCCGTTTTGGGATCATTAGGATTGAAACAAGGTAAAACTTTGGAAGATTGTAAGAGGATGATCATGAAAGTCGACGTGGATGGTGATGGGATGGTTGATTTTAAAGAATTTAGACAAATGATGAAAGGTGGTGGATTTTCATTAACATGAAATTTATTGGAAGAAAGAAAAAGAAAAGGGTATATACTTGTGTATATATATCCTTTTTTTGTATGTGACCCTTTGAAAGAAGCAATACAAGTTATATTTCTTTGATCTTGGATTATTTACTTTGTGTTTTTTTTTAATGAATAGATATGCCATTCAAATTAGCTTAAACTTTTAGATAAGCTATATTCAAAATAACTCGCTAATAAATATCATCTAAACAAGATGAACATGTTATATTTTTATGCGCTAAATTTAGCACACCTAACATTAGTATAAGCAAATTATGTGTAAAAGAATATTAGAAGTAGTATTTACCAGTTTCCGACCATGTAGTTTCAAGTTTTACAGGTGAAATACCCTAACAATGTCTTAGAATTTCACGCGTGGAATTTAAAGCTCCGAGCTAAAAGTGGCTATTTGTTAAAAGATTCACGAGTGATGGTTTGGGCCTTCAAAATAGACCATACTAGCCCAAGTCCATTTGCTAAGTATCCAATTTAGACCCATTTAGCTATTCCCGGAGACTAGTTCCCCGTCGGTCACCAGAAAGTGTGAAAAATGCTCCGGCGAGGTTTCTTCTTTCCGGCGACGCTCTGCAAATCACGGCAGCTACACCATCTCTTATGCTGCCGTTTCATCTTCCAACCCGTTTTACCCCATTCCGTTCCCCAGCAAACCAGGTACTATTTCTTCAAATTCTGAATTTGTTTCTGCAAAAATCATGCATTTACACTTACACTGATAACTGTTTAATTTGAAGTGATTGTGCTAATCTCATGATGATATATTAGTGTATTTAATGCAGTATGCA